CCCCAAAAAATGATTAACTATTAATGCTGGGTGTGGTGGCACAGGCCTCTAATCCTAGCCCTCAGGAGGCTGAGGCAGGAGGATCACTGCAAGTTGGAGGGCAGCTGGGTCTACATAGTGAGTTCAAAGCCAGCCTGCACTATATAGTGAGACCCTGTCTCAAAAGAACAAGAAACAAACAAAAACAGTAGGTGACAGTACTATCAGGTAAATAGAATAGCATTACCTGCCTAAAATTTTTTCTGATCTGTTTTTCTTTTTTGTGTTTTTTTAATTTTACTGGTACATTTTAGATATACACAACAATAACATTCATCATAGGGAATTTGTACCTGTACATGCTATAGTTGGCTTCTCCTCTTTCCTCCAGTTCCTTTCCCTGCCTTCAACCCCTTTTCCATTCCTTACTTACAAAAGTTTTGTTTCCAGTTTTTCCTTCTATTCTCTTTTTTTTCTTGTCCTTCCATTCCATTTCTCTTCCCCTTCCTTTATTCACCTTCTCACTTGAACATTTTCTTCCCCTTTTGCTTTTTTTTTTTTTTTTAGATAGGATCTCAAAAAAGTTTGTAGTTCAGATTGGCCTCAAACTCACAGTGATCCTCCTGCCTCAGCCTCTTGAGTGCTGGGCGCACAGGTGAGTACCACCACACTCCCACTATTTCCCAACACCTATGATGTATTTTAGTCCTTATTTATACTTTCAGCTTCTCAGATAAAAGAAACATGGGCCAGGGAGATGGCTCAGTGGAATAAGTGCTTCCCGGGCAAGCTCAAGGGCCTGAATTCAATCCCCGTTCTGCAAAAAAAAAAGAAAAGAAAAGAAAAGAAAAGAAAAGAAAAGAAAAGAAACAATGTGGCATTTACACATGTGTGTCTGATTTATTTCATTTAAGACTATGGCCTCCGAGTGCATCCATTTATCTAGAAATGTCTCAGGTTTATCCTTCTTCGTGGCAGAGTACTAATCCATTCTATGAAAAAAATCACTTTTTATCCTTTTTTTTTTTTTT